GGTGCCGGGGACCTCCCGCCGTGGTGGCGTTCTCGGAAAGCGAGGAGGTGGGTGAGGCGGCCGGCTGCGGCCCTGGCTCGGGGGAGAGGGCAGCTCAGCCCGGCCCTTACCGTCCGCTCTCTCTCTCGTGCAGGTGGTTGGCTTGGCCGCGAAGCAGAGCAGGATCAGAAACGTTTCCAGCACTGTGGTGAAAGTAAAGCAGATCCTTGGGCGAAGGTAAGAGAATAGGTGCGATGTGAGACTCGAGGAGTTTAGTGTTCCCCGTCGAAGCTCGTCAGTGCGATGCGGCTTCAGCACTGGTCTGCTGAAGGTATTTTGTATGGAAGATATTTTATGCTTAAGCAGTAGCGGTTAGGTTAACCTGACTTTGACCGGAGTGTAAGTAAGTATGTTGTTGCTTTAAAACTTACCCTATGTTTCATTACAGGTGTGAAGAGAGGTATAGTATTTTGTACCAGAATTTGCTTCCATATTCAAATTTCAACAGGAATTTAATAATAAGTAGAACATTTGATAGGTGCTTAAGTTCCTTAACTAAAAAAACATGTTTTTTTATCTGCAAATCTTAGTGAGGCTAAAATCAACTCTGGCTAAGTTCATTTAAAATTTGGTATCACAGTTATTACAGTGATGAAATGCAAATGCATCTTGTTATTCTTCAGTTAGGGGACCTGTGACGATTTGCAGTGACAGTTGCAATGACTTTTAAACTAAACTTGGTGGCTCAGGTTTGACAATAGAGATTCCGTAAAACATTTTGGTGGTAATCTAGTTGTATGGTACGGTTCTTTAACTGAAATGAGTTGACTAGAAGCTATCTGTTCTGATGTTTTTCTTAGCATTTTTTTCAGAGCCTTATCTTTCTGCAGTCAGTGGAAGTTTAAAGAGGGTTAGCTTGTTGCTGCCATGTTATTTCGGTCAGTGCAATAAAAGTGATACAAAAATCTTTTATAACTGATTACTGACGCTAGCATTAAGTTAAAGCAGGGTTTTTTTTCTCCTTTTAATGTTATGTGCTGTTTATCTTAACTTTCAAATATCTATTTCTTTCTTAGTTTGGGGGAAGGAGGTTGAAAGATACCAGCAGTCAGAGCCATTTCTTCTTCTTCTCCTGTATAGATGTATCCATAGTGAGAACAGGAATTTTGGGGGAAGTGTAGTTTCATATACTACAGACTTTACTAGGAACACCAGCGAGATGAATCTTTGAAATTTATTTATAAGGATTTGTTCTGCTGTTCCGAATTTGTCTTGATAGCTCTGGTGACCCACAAGCTGAGAAATACATTACGGAAAGCAAGTGTTCGGTGAGTATGATCTAATTCTTCTTGCTCTCAGAATAGCTTGTATCATTCTGTAGTTGTTTTTTTTTTTTATTGTATTGTTTGTGCCACACCATGCTTGTGTTCTTTAGTGATCAGCTCCCGTTATATGAGGTCTATATGATGCTGTGTAGAACGTGGGTCTGTTTCCACAAGGTGGAAGCTTCGCCATGTCCTGAAATCTCCCATTTTGGCATAGGCCAAAAGAAAAACTATCTGTGTCTCTGGGGCGTTCTCAAAAGGGATGGTGCTTCAATATATTCAGATAATAGCACCGTACTGTTTCTTAGTGCTGGTAGAAGACCCTCAGGGTAGGGCATTTGTGATTGCAAAAGCTTAACCACTCGACTTAATCAAGTTATTTAATTTGGCTAATACTGTGCTCGTTCCTGGAAATCTTCTGGCAAAGCAAAAGAAAAATTACTCTAAA